AATTGTAATTGTTTTTTTTGTTATTTCTGTTTTTTTTTTTTTTTTTTGTACTTTTTTCTTTTATTGTTTTTTTCTTTAGTTTTTATTTTGGAAGGTTGCCGTGTTTAGCGCTGCTGAGTAAAGAGCATCAATGAATGAAATGTCACAGTTCTGCGTTTTGCTCTGAAACAGGCAGCACACAGCAAGAGGGTCTGGCTGCAGCCTTGCACTTGCACTCTCAGACTTGCACTCTCAGACACTGGCGCTTCCGCTAGCGACGTCACTTGAAGTCTTTATTTCTTATTTTGTTCTATTTTTTTATTACTTTTTGTTTAAATCTCTCAACATTTTACAACAGTAGCCAGGTGGTGAAGACAAGAAAAAAGAAACTAAATAACAATGTCACTTGCAATCGCCACTTGCACTCTCCTCTACCATTTCAATTTTATTTTTCTACAGAAGGAAAACGCTTAGCGAGAGATTTTGCGCACTGCAGATTTGTGGGTCTTGTCTTTTTCTTGCAGGACCCTGTATGTTATAGTACTAAATTAGTTTTAATAGTTTAATCACCACCACAGCTTCTTGTCTCCATTGGCAACACACACGATTTGTGTCGATTGCATGTGACGTCGCAGGTATCGGAGAGTGCAAGTGGCGATTGCAAGTGACATTGTTATTTAGTTTCTTTTTTCTTGTCTTCACCACCTGGCTACTGTTGTAAAATGTTGAGATATAAAGTAGTCAATAAATAGAACAAAATAAAAAAGACTGCAAGTGACGTCGCTAGCGGAAGAGCAAGTGTCTGAGAGTGCAAGTCTGAGAGTGCAAGTGCAAGTCTGCAGCCAGACCCTCTCTCACACACAGCCTAGATTTGTGCTTTCAGTTCGAATGAAAATCTTAAGAGCGTATTACAGTTACAGTCAATCTAAAACTGTGCATTAACACGATGATTGTGCATTAACAGCTGTCAACTGTGTCGGTACACAAATGAGTTGCTCCGTGTGTGTTCGCCTTCACATGCTAATTTAAGCGGTGCGCGCTCTCTTTAGCATTAACTAGGTTAGCGAGTGATGTAATTAAAGTGAGAGAGAGCAGAGCTCTGTGACTTCAGACACCAAACACACCACTGCAGTTAACCAAACCCTGATCTGACAAACAGTGAGTCTATGTAAATCAGAGGCACGCTCCTGGCTTCTGATACGTATACAATTTAAAATAACGTTTTATGTGAATATATATTATGTAATTTATTTATGTGATAAAAGCTGAATTTCACCAGTCTTCAGTGTCACATGATCCTTCAGAAGTCATGTAATATGCTGATTTTCTGCTCATGAGACATTTATTATCAATGTTGAAAACAGTTGTGCGGCCCAATATTTTTGAGGAAACTCTGATACAATTTTTTAGGATTCTTTAATAAGCAGTAAGTTCAAAAGAACAGCACTTATTTGAAATAGATGTTTTCCAACATTACCAATGCCTTTACAGTGACATTTGATCAATTGAATGCGTCCCAATTTAAATGCATATTAATTTGAAAAGATAAATGCATGAATTTAATAAAATGACACTTTAAAGAATATCTGTGTTCTTTATATTTTCCTCATGTGGTGTCCTTTATAAGACGCAGAAGGTCGAGTGGTGTTGTTAATACAGTCTCCTCTGTATGCCATGCCTAACAAGCACTTCAGCATTGACTATATTCACAACACACTGTCGAGGAACCTTGAGTGCATCACTGCTTAGGAAGAAATCAACAGGTTGAGATCTCCGGCTGAACGCGAGTTATTCTTCACGAGACGCCGCTCTGAGATCAGCCATCGAAGCAGAAGTGCAGAAGTTCAGCACAAGCTCTATCGGCACGGTTACCTTGGAGAACTGCGCATTGAGCCACTTCGTGAAGGTTTTTTTCTGTACGGCATCATGTTCATCTGAAAAACGACAGACACAGGAGAAGAGAGAGGTAAGTAGGTACGTAAGAAGGCAATATGGAGACACTGCTGAGATCTGCAGACACTTTCACTTCCACAAACTAAAAAAAGAGCAACTGACACACAACCATTCGGATGACTGAACTGAATTAATTGGCTACATCTTCTGTGTACAATTTAATTCAGGGACAAATCTTCAGTAACCAAATGGGTATCGATTCTTAAATTATTAATTGCAATTAGATTAGGCCAACACTGGAAGCAGATTCCAAACCTGTAATCCTTTCTTTCTTCTGTTGATCACAAAAGATTATATTTTGAAGAATTTTGGTAACCAAACATAGGTTGACTTCCATAGTATGAAATAATATACACGTATTATAGAAGTCAATGGCTGCCAGCATCTCTTTGGTTAAAAACAATCTTAAATATATCGACTTTTGCATTCAACAACAGAGACTCACTCATGGTGAATTATCTCTTTAAATATTATGGATAATTGTATAAAGCTCTTACTCTCCGCGCTGCTTAATTACATCCACTCCACACAGTCCTGCAGATTTTCCACCCTGCAATTTCCACGTGGGTCTACTCTTAACTAGAGGCCTTTAAACTAGTTACTCATTGACAGAGATATTTAACATTGCTAGAAACCTTGAGGTGTAGGTCAAGTAGGTGACCAATACAATGCTTTCTTGTAACTGTCAATCAAAGCACAGGAGGTGGAGTCTGTCTAATGCAGCATCAGGTCAAAACATTACAGCATTAGTGTCACATTGTGTCTGCTGTCCATATATCCCTGTTCGAATCCACACAGATCCTGTGTGTGATCCTGTTACAGAAGGACAAGATTCCCACACACACACACAACAAAAATCACTGTGTAACCAGCGTGAACCCTAGAGGGATCTGTGTGTGTGTGTGTGTGTGTGTGGATGAGGGCCAGAAAGCCAGGAATGCGCTGCAGGCAACAGAAACGGTGTGAAGTGAAGAAACACATCTCTGACACACAGGAAGGAACCGATCATCATCCCTATCTACAATGCAGATATCACTGGTCATCTTTACAACACTCTGCACAAGCACTGAATATGTGAATCTCATTAATTCAGTCAAAATCAGTAAAAAAAGAACTGTAGGAAAATAAAGACTACCATTAATTTTTTTTTGCATAGCAACATTTTCATGACCATTCATAAACGCACATGCCTCACAATTCTCATTACTGTAATGTGATGTTAAAAAATAAATAAATAAATAAAAATCTCATTCTCATTACAAAATGCGCACACACACACACACATACACACATACATACACACACACACACATAGCAATACTTTAATAGTTACTTGAAAAAGTACTCTGATTGCATAACTCTTGTTACTTGTAATGCGTGACCACCAACTCTGCCCCTAACATTATACTTTTTGGTTGTGGCCTGAACATGTTTTCCTGACATTCACCTGCAGACCCCCGCCAATTCAATTTGACAATAGTCAGAAACGAGCAGTGATGAACACACACATCCTGCTCTATAACTCTTATCGCACTCACAAGCAAACACTTGCCTTTTATCTAAACCCTGACATTCCTCGAGTGACTCGCAGCCCCGTTCTTTACAAACACTGTGTGTGTGTGTGTGTGTGTGTGTGTGTGTGTGTTATGAGTGCCCATCAAGCCACACTGCTCCTGACTGACTGACTGAAGGCATTTCTGCTATGCTGCATGAGCACAACTGAATCACAACACACTCGGTGTCCTTTAGTAATCCAGAGAAAGGCTGAGGCCAAAGTTCACAAAAGACCAGCACAAAACTGTCAGCATGAGATGAACTGTCTCTACGATTAGGAACAGGGCTCAGTTTATAAGCAAACAAAGGCGGCAAACAATTCCCATAGACTTAGAATGAAGGAAGGACCCGAGCCGTATATAGAGGCCAGATTTGATGCTTTATAAAACATTCCAGTTTAGATAAACGTGCTGGTTTGTGTGCGTTTTGATCACATCTGTACAGGACCTGCTTATATGAAATATATTTGGACATGGGACATTCCATAATGCATAAAATTCCCATAATTGAGGCAGTGGTTCCTCCTCCAGTGTGAACTCCTGCCCGAGCTTGTCTGCATGAAGGCAGAGGGAGGGAAAAGTTCAAGAAAAACACTCGTTTATAGACAGGAATTCAAAAACACAGTCATATCATAAAAAAACAACAACTTTCATGTACTTCTAAAAGTCTGAGTTTGATATGCCAAGTGGAAATACAATAACATTCACTTAAACTAAACTGCAAAAATGACTCTGAAATCATCATAATTATGACAATACAACTTTAAGCTCAATGACATAAGACACGGCCACATTTACATGTCCAATCCTAATGAGGAATTCAGCGACTCTGATGAACAACACTATAGCTACGATATAATGAGATGTTAGCGAATCACAACAGAGGTCATTTGCATATAAAATTCTTAAAGGTACAATAGCCAAAAACTGTCCATAACCTCCAATGAAACGTCCATCTCCTGTTGTCTCTCACAACAAAATCCATCCACATATTTGTTTAGAGCTGTGAACAGTGCTTGATTTGTGCAGATTTCTCTCCGGATTCAGATTAAAATGACTTTTCACTGAAGGAAGCAATATTATATTTTAGCCCGGAAGCAACTGTTTAAAGTTAAAAATGTCTCAATGATGGATTTGTTTCTTACAAACATGTGTTCGTCTTCACAAGACATTAACTGATGGACTGGAGTGGATTACTTGTGGATTATTGTGATGTTTTTATCAGCTCTCGTTCTGACGGCACCCATTCACTGCAGAGCATCAATTGCTGAACAAGTGATGTAATGCTACATTTCTCCAAATCTGAAGAAAAAACAAACTCGTCTACATCTTGGATAGTCTGGGGGTACGTGCATTTTCAGCAAATTTTCATTTTCGGGTGAACTATTCCTTTAAAACTCTTCTGCAGCCAAAATGCAAAATGATGTTTGAGTTGTGAAGTTTGGTTCATTTCCATGAGATGTTTCAAATGGTCCATTTCAATGAATCAGTTGAACAATTTGTTTGCATCACTCAAAAATATTCTGCGTGACATCAAAAATGTTAATATTGCTGTATATTATTATACTTTTGGAAAACGCGCTTTGGTTATTTTTTAAACCAGAGCTTTACTATATTTGACTCGTAGTAGCAGTCAAATCTTACTGGCTAGAATGGCTCAAAAGCTATAGTTCTGAAAACACAGAGTCATACAGTATATACAACAACCTCACAGCACACTACATACTAAATATCTGACTTGAACACTAGCACGCTCAATAACACAACCAACACTACAGGTACACACACAAACACACCTGTACCTAGAGTAAAACACAGCCGCCTACCTCGGAGTTTCACACTCTGTGTAGCCATGGAGTCATAAACCAACAGATGATGGAGAAAAGCAAAGAGAACCAAACAAATGGTCCTGTCCAACTTCACATTCCTGTCTTCTCTACGCTCAGATATAGTAAAGAGTGACAGAGCGAGAGAGCGAGCGGAGGGAGGGAGGGAGGGAGGTGGGCACTGGGCATGTATGTTGTGCTCCACTGGTAGAAGACACACAACGTCTCTGTGGAATGGCATCCCAGCATGCATAAGAGCGAGAGCATGACCGACTCTGTGGGTCACCCCGACAACCATATGGCAGGTCACCGTGACGACCAAAGAGAATGTGATGGAATGGAATGTTGGAACTGTAGCATTACTTTGAAGAATAAGTTTGAAAGTTTAACTATTTTTGATAAAAGCATTTTACTAATACATTAAATAAATGAATAGAATTATAAATAAACATTTTATGTATAAAAATATTATTATTATTATTACAAACTTCATCTGCTGAATTTTACAGCCTGTTGAAAATACTCACTAAATATTAAAATACAAAAATTAAAATGTAATTATGCAATTATATTATGACCTATTAAAATATAATGAATTAAATTATATAATATGAATATATAAATAAATATATATTAATAATTTATTGCTGCATATATATATATATATATATATATATATATATATATGTGTGAGAGCTGTGCGATATAGA